TTGCTGAATTGGAGCACTATGCCTTAAAATTCCACTCCATTCCACATTGATAAAATCACTTTTAACTCCACAAATTCCAAGTTTTTATGAAATCATTTTCATCTCAAGTCCCTCAATATCACTTATAAGCAGCAGTCTAGCATGTCAAAATCACACATGCAGATCCAAATCTTCAAAACTGCCCTGTAAATCAAAAATGTTAAATCTCACATGATTTTAGCACAACAAAAATTCCACAGTCATTTGTGACCTCTCATTTCAAATGACTGCAAGTTAAAGGTGATGGAGACACTGTGCAATGTAAGAGTATTAGCATTTCAGGAGGGAAAGTCTCTCCAACCAATCAGCAGCATCCAGGTAGAAGCACCAGAGCAGGAAGTTACCAGCAGCTGTCTGGCTGTACAACCTCAAAGTAAGTCTTATCTAACTGGAAGTTGTTGAAATGGGCCAGAGATCATGTAGGCCAAATTTGCAAGCATGTAGGCAAGTTGGTGTGTGTCAGCAATCAACTGGATGAGGTAGCTGCAGTTACACTGCCCACACCTGACCAGGTAAAGAGACAAGTTGAGTCTTGTATCAGCAGCAACAGTGGCAGCAGCAACAGCTGCAGCAGTAGGGTGGGGTGGTGTTCCTTTCACTGTTTGTGCATGAATTGACTGTGGGCACTGGCATGCAGAGCATTTGGCATGTATGACCAGCTCAACTATAGGAAGCCATTATCACACATGTAAGCTGCCTTAAGGCCTCCTGGGAATATGGTGATAAAGTGAGGGAAACAAGAAAAAAACATGTAGGTCCACAAAAATTATGTGCCAGACGCCACGATCCCGGTAAAAATGGGGTTTCGAGTGTAGACATGTCGCCAACGGAAAGCGGGCAGTTTCCTGTGGTGGAACTTCCGCGACGTCCTAATTCGTTGTGACCTGGGCTCATTGGGTTTTTGGGACCGGTGCCTTGTCGCAAGGGAAAGTTGTTTCCCCCCGCACACCACGCAACGTGCGGCGTCTGCCCTTGGTGTTTCTCCTGTTATCCTCCCGCCAACGCACGCCTCTTCCCTTCATATTACCACCAGCCATCCAACCACTACCACACAGGCCTCACCTCCTTCTTGCTGTATCCTTCTCTTCTCGCCCAAGCACACACATCAAGCTCGCCACCACCCATCCCGTTCCTCTTCTTGTCAGGCGGCCGCACACCACACAACCACCCCCTTTGCCCAGCACACAACCGCGGTCCAGCCAGCACGACAAGAAGCAGCAGCAGAAAAGATGGAGAGCGACATGATCTTCCTGTTGGGCGCGAAGCAGGCACAGCACAAGGCCGCGTCGCATCGTGACCGCTCGGCGTCGATGCCCCAGACCTACGCCTCCATGCTGGCGTCCTCGACCCCCTTCCTCTCGCCGCCACGACGGTCCTCCTTCTTCGCCAGCTACGTCGGCGAGCGAAGCGGCACGACGAGGCTTCATGACGACGACAGCGCCTTCCCTTCGCCCACCTTCGTGTAATCAACGACCTCGGGTGAGTAACTGCCACGCCTGGGTCTTACGTGGACCACCGAACGAGACGAGAGCTCTT